CACCAATCCCGGCCTGAAAAAAATGCAAAACGGATCGGATCACTTCAATACATTCGCGCGATGCCGAGGCAACGTTTGACTCGCTACTTCCTGCCCAGGTTACGTCAGTGCCAACCCCAAAGCCGTGGAGCGATGAGTGCGTGGTGACGGTGGCAGGTGCAGGATGGCACTGGGAGCCACTAGCCACAAGCTTGCATCCACGCGACCAGAGCCAAGTGGTCGCCCCATCCTGACACGAGGCAACAGGATGTTTTGGCAGCAGCTCTGGATGACGGAGCAGCCCTAGTTAGGGAGTGCACTGCTCCCCCCTTTTGGGGAAGGGCCTAGAAAAGGTGGCCTAAACAAAGCTTGCCTCACCCTGATCCTGCCAGCTTGCCGCGGCTGGCTGGACATCCACCTCTGCGGTCGAAACAATCAAAGTCGAAAAAACATCAACCTCGGTGCCTGGAATGTGAGGACCCTTATGGACGCAAACAGTCGTCCTCAGCGCATGACAGCGATTGTTGGACATGAACTGGGCAACTATAACATCACCATAGCTGCACTCAGCGAGACCAGAAGGGCTGACACAGGCAGCGTGAAAGAAGTGGGAGCCGGCTACACCTTCTTTTGGAGCGGCAAATCAGAGACCGAACCACGGATCTCTGGCGTTGGTTTTGCCATCCGGAACGACATAGCCTCAAGCCTCACCTCACTTCCCAAAGGGATCTCAGACCGCATAATGACATTGCGTCTGCGTCTGGAGAGCAAGACGCACCTGACTCTCATCAGCGTCTATGCTCCTACCATGACCCACCCGGAAGAGGAGAGAGAGGCTTTTTACTCAAGCCTGCGCGAAGTCATCCACAGCGTACCAAGCAACGATAAGCTCCTCCTGCTTGGGGACTTCAATGCACGGGTCGGCAGCAACAAGCACGCCTGGCCTAGAGTGCTGGGCTCACACGGTTATGGAAAGGAAAACTCTAACGGTCTGATGCTACTTAGTCTCTGTGCTGAGGAAAACCTGGTAATAACAAACACGGTTTTCAAACACAAGGATGCTCACAAGGTCACCTGGATGCATCCAAGATCAAAGCACTGGCACTTGCTTGACTACATCATCACCAGACACCAGGACCTCTGTGAAATTCTTGACACTAGAGCACTGAGAGGTGCGGACTGCTGGACAGACCACGTCCTCCTAAGGTGCAAAGCCCGCTTTATTGTACACAAACCAGTGCGGAAGAAACCAAGCTGCATTAAGAGAAAGCTCGATGTGTCCCGTCTTAAGTGCGCAAGCGTTGTGAGTGAGCTACAAGAAAAGCTGCGTGATCAGCTACCTGCTCTGCCTGCTGATACTGATACTTCCGAGCACGCCTGGTCTGTGTTCAGGGATGCAGTGTTCTCAGCCGCCGAGACAGCTCTGGGATTCCGTAAGCGCAAACACCAGGACTGGTTTGACCAAAACGACCAGGACATCCTCAAGCTGATAGAAGCGAAGCGCACCGCTCATGCCGCTTGGCTGAGCGACAAGAACTCCGCGTCCAAGCACAACCTCTTCAAACAGCTACGCAGGCAGGTGCAAAGCCGCACGAGGGAGCTGAAGGATGCTTGGTGGGCAGACAAAGCTACGGAGGTTCAAAATCACGCAGACAACAAACGGTCCAAGGAGTTTTATGCAGGGCTAAAATCCATTTTCGGCCCCGCTCAGTGCACAACGGCCCCAATCCGAAACCGGGATGGCATACTCCTTACTGACAAAGAGGACATCTTGAAACAATGGACTCTCCACTTCAGCACGCTGTTGAATCAGACCTCAGAAGTGTCAAACGTAGCAATAGAGTCCATCCAGCAGAAACCCATGGTCCATCAACTTGATGCCCAACCTAATCACGCAGAGATCACTGAAGCCATCAAGCAGCTGCAAACAGGCAAGGCTCCAGGCCCAGATGGAATTCCAGCGGAAGTGTTCAAAGCCGGCGGTGAAACGCTTATCGCTCACCTCACCAGGCTGTTCCAAGTATTTTGGATAAATGGTGAGCTTCCCCAGGACTTCAGGGATGCTAACATCATCCACTTGTACAAAAACAAGGGTGATCGCTCATCCTGTGACAACCACCGCGGGATCAGCCTCCTCAGCATTGCAGGCAAGATATTGGCCCGTATTCTGCTGAATCGTATCACCAAGCACATACTGGATGATGTTGTGTCTGAAAGTCAGTGTGGCTTCAGAAAGCTGAGAGGCACGGTAGATATGGTCTTTGCTGTCAGGCAGCTACAGGAAAAATGTGTCGAGCAGCACCAAGATCTCCACCTGCTCTTCATCGATCTCACCAAGGCATTTGACACAGTAAACCGGACTGCACTCTGGGCAATACTCAGCAGACTCGGATGCCCACCTCGTTTTGTAGCGATTGTCCGCGCCTTCCATGATGGTATGCTTGGCAGGGTCATTGAAAATGGCGATACATCTGACCCTTTTCCAGTGTCAAACGGGGTGAAGCAAGGATGTGTGCTTGCCCCAACGCTGTTCAGTCTCCTCTTTGCCCAGATGCTCTCTGCAGCGCTCTCTCAAACAACAGCAGGAGTCAAGATCCATTATCGCATGGATGGCGATTTCTTCAACCTTCGTCGCCTAAAATCCCACACGAAAGTGACCCGTGCCATTGTTCGCGACTTCCTCTTTGCAGATGATTGTGCACTGGCAGCTCACTCTGAGGAAGACCTGCAACAGCTTGCTGACTGTTTTGCCACTGCAGCTAAGTCTTTTGGGCTAACAGTGAGCATCGAGAAGACGGAGGTTCTTCGGCAGCTCGCCCCAAACACTGCTCGGCCTCCTGCCAACATCTCCATGGACGGCAATGTGCTGAAAAATGTAGACACCTTCAAGTACCTGGGCAGCTGCATAAACTCTGCAGCCAACATTGATGACGAGGTTCTGTGTCGCATTTCGCGAGCAAGTCAGGCGTTTGGGCGTCTCCACACACGAATATGGCATGAACGGGGCATCTCGATCAAGACCAAGTTGAAGGTTTACCGTGCCGTGGTGCTGCCGTCTCTGCTGTACGGCTGCGAGACATGGACTTGTTACAGGCGGCACATCAAGAAGCTGGATCATTTCCACCTGCGCTGCCTTCGCAAACTTCTCCGCATTGACTGGAAGGACCAGATACCCAACCAGGAGGTCCTTCGGAGGGCTGAGACCACTGGCATCGAAGCCATGCTGAACCAGTCACAGCTTCGCTGGTCAGGCCACGTCACTCGCATGGATGACAGCAGACTCCCTAAACAACTGTTCCATGCTGAGCTGTCAACTGGGAAACGGCATACAGGTGGGCAGAGGAAGCGTTACAAAGTCGTTCTAAAGTCAACCCTCAAGGCCTACGGCATCCCAGTTGACCAATGGCAAACCCTATCCCAGGACAGACCGGCCTGGAGGGCATCCATTCGCAAAGGCACAAAACAGTTTGAAAGAAACCGGCTACAGAGCCTGGATGACAAAAGGCTGGCCCGGAAAAACAGAGTGCTTTATCCCAACACTGCTGTATCCTGTCAGCTCTGCGGCAAGATCTGCGCATCCACATTTGGGCTGCAAGCTCATATGCGCAAACACCAACACCAACACTGACGTGTAATCTTCGACCTTTCGAAGGACTACCATGGTATACAAAGTTTTCCTATTGATAAATATTGATTGTGAACTGCTGTATTGTCGTGCAATGTTTAGAGTTGCTTGAAGGGGATGTATTGGAATGTAAAGGTAATTTTGTTTTGTTTTTTTTCTTTTGGTCGTATCCTCAAATAAGTGAAATGCTCTTCTTTAATGCCACACATCAGCCTCTTTCATATCGATGTGTGCAGGTGAGAGTTCTGGGAAGGGAAACTGTATGGACAGTGTTGAGGAGGGGATCTGTCCATTTCCTTGTGGCCCTCCTTGGCCACAGGTTCTTTTATTTCTCTATAAGGTGGAAGAAGACCCAACACCACGTTGTCTTTTCTGCAGTTTATCACAACACAATACGAATCGATTTGGGCTCCTGAGAGTCTCAGATTTCATCAGGAAGCATAGAAAAAATACAGTCATGAGAATATACAGAGACAATATGATAATGAGAGGCGGGCAGTTATGCCTCCATGCAAATCCCGGCAACAAAAACAAAAATGGTAAAATATGTGGGCATTTGTGATGAGATCAAAATCGAATGAGATGCAGATGCATTAATCACAAGCTTCACTGTGGAACCCACAGTCAACAACAGTTAAAAACTCAACAAATAGCACCAGTTGGCATCAAGTCAGGGTCAGCAGACTCGATGTCTCAATTTCTGTATCAAAGCATATGCGTCAACATGTCAGGTTTAATCGATGGATAGCGTCCCAGATTGTTTGGAAAGGAAGCTCAGCAGAAGATGAGCCTTTGCAAAAAAATGGAATTCAGAGCAGTATCAAGTCTCAGAGTTGTAAAGGAGAGTCCAACTACTGCAGTTACACACAAACATTGTGTTTGTTTCTTTTATGATTATTCAAATATCAATTTCATTAAGAGAGGAGTACCAACAATTTTGTCCATCTGTAGAAATTAATAAATATGCATCAGTTACCAGGTGTCCTGATTAATGAGAACCCATTTTGTCATGCCTATGCAAGCATTGGTAGCCATTTTGCGAAGTAAATATGAAATAAGCTCAACATTTCTGATAAGTATTATGTGAATATTCAAATTTAAAAATCGAGCAAAGTAGGAATGAAGCAACATGGAGGCAGAAATTATGACATGTAGCAAATCAAGCGCGAAACCCACAACTCCACCCCCTTTCTCTTTCACCTGCAGCACACCTATTGCATTGTTGGGGTTTAATTAAGTCTCAGCTTTTTAAATAAACTTGTGATGACTGTAGCAGGACTGAATTGTTTTGTGGTACATGCCACAGAAAAATATCGTAGCATCTTAGTTGTATGTGGATTAATTCTAGCTCCCCGACAAATGCTCTTATGCATTTCATTACAAAGATTGCGGCTGGGTAAGGAAGGGTTTGATCATCATGTATTTCAAATATGCTGGTGTCTTGTGTCTATTTCTGAGTGTCTAATGCTTTTTTTTTCTTTTTTTGCACAATGCTTTGTGAATGTGCATGTGATTCAACCTACACACCTGACGGGTGTCGCTCTCCAATTTTTACTTCAGTCACACTAAAGGTGTGTGCATGAGCAAGTGCGTGCGTACGTGCATGTGTGTGCGCATATGCGTCTGTACGTGTTTGTGTGCCAGCGTGAGGGGAGGAGGAGGGTGTATTTAAAAGCCAAGCCTCAGCATGTCAAGGAGATTTATGCGCCTCTATTGTCTCCAGCGCTCATCAGAACACATTTATCTGCAGAAAATGACAGAGCTTGCACTTTTCATTTTGTATGTTTGCCAGCGAGTTGTATTCCACACCCCTTCCAGCCGAACGCCACCAGCATCCCAGCATATTTCAGAAAAGAATTAGATCTATTTGAGTCTGTGTTTGAAGGGAATTAGTAATGTTCCTGCTTGGCAATGTATTGTATGCATTCAAACCTCATTTGTTTAAGCAGTTTGATATTCACGTCTTCTGAATATACTATAATACAATAATTGATACTTCATGTCTTGCCCAAAATCCATACGGTGACTGTGGATTTCTCCGGGGACTGCATCGATTGTTCACCGAGTTTGTGTAAAATTAGCATGGATAGCTTCAGAAGCAGAGTATTCTTATTCTGTGCGTCCATCAAAATAAGAATCAAAAAAGGTGTTTTTGCAAATAAAATTAGAAGAATATAGGACACAATCAAGGGATGAAAGTTTTTCAAGTGCCACCACCCATACATATTGATTCGAGCGGCAACTAGAATGTTGCATATCCTAAAATTATTTGATTAAGGCGATTGATCTTGAACCCAAACTTCGGTGACTGAACACTGAACTAAGCAGTGACCTAACCAATTGGACAAAAGATTAGTGGAGAAAGCATGGTGGTGACAGCGGCTGTCTCCGCTAGGTCCAAAATGTCGGTTTTCATATGACAATTATTTTGTTTGCATTATGTAAGTGGTCAGAGTACTGCGGCAGAAACATTAAGTGCCTATTTTTTTTTTAATGTTAAAAACAAACGAGCTCAGCCAACTGAAACAAATGAAATATGTGCATATTGTTTTTAGCTTCAGGTGATCATAACCAACAGATTTATGTGCATATTAAGGACAGCAGTTGCATAATATGTCATTTCAATGTTCTGATTATGGAATCAAAATGACTTCATAGAGTGTTCATCAACACGTTACTTCAAACTGTGCTCCCTGCTTTTACTGCAGATCACAAGTGTCATCTGCGAACGTCATGGTCCATGAGGATGTCAGTCTGACCTCCTATGTCAGTCTATTCATTACTATTTTAATGAGGAAGGGGCTTAGAGCTGACTCCTGATGCAGTCCCACCTCCACCTTAACTCTACTGTCACACCTACAGGGGACCTCAACAATGTTCTGCTACCCGCATCCGTGTCCCGCACTGTTCTAAAATACCAGATTCCGGACTTCCTCATGTGCTACCATGGTTCCTTTCTGGGTACCCTGTCCTAGGTTTTCTAGAGCATCTCCCTCTGACCTTCCCTACTTCTCCATCAACACCCTTGAGGCAAATAAAGCATGTATTCTTCCAAAGCAGAAACCCATACTGTTGCTCACAAATGTCCTGAGTCTCGCCTCCATTTCTGTTTCTGTAATTTTGTGACATATCAGCTTGATTCTTCTGTGGATTCTTCTGTAGTTCCCACAACTCTGCAAATCGCCTTTGTTCTTAAAAAAATGAGTACCAGCAAGCTTCTCTTCCGTTCTTCGGGCATTTTCTCACCCTCTAGAATTCTATTAAACAAACAAAAACTCCACAGCCATCCCGTCTAGATGCTTTGAATAGCTCTACGGCAGGGGTGGCCAACCTGCAGGTCGCGAGCCGCATGCGGCTCTTTGGCCGGCTCAATGCGGCTCCCAAGGTTTCAAATGGCAAGCGTCGAAAATGCCTCGACAGTGGCGCTGCCATTCACACAACGGCGTTCAAGATACAGAACTTACTACGTCAGCCTACCATCAATCCCGTTACTTGATTGACATACAGGGTAACCAATCAGATGACAACTGAATCACCGCTCATGCGCAAACAATGGTGCTCAGCGCTAAACACTAAGCTAGTCAGCGAATTACCTCCGATTTTAAAGCAGGGGTGTCCAATTCATCAATCGCGATCGAACCGGAGCCAGCGGACTGGTCCCAAGTCGATCGCCAATGTTGGAAGGAGGAAATAGGGGCGAAAAGAACTTTGTGTGTCTGTGTGTTTCGATGTCAATTGTTTTTCATGTTCGGTGACGTTCAGGCTGTCGCTCATCTCGGCGTGCGTGCGTGCTTGAGTATGCGCATGTGTGCGTGGTGGGCTGCCCGCGTGTGTGTGTGTGTGCGTGTGTTTAATTAATTAATATGCTTGAGTGTGAGCGATCGAGTCGGTCGCGGGAGGTACGTCGCTTCAAAAATCGATTTTCGGTCAAATACTAGCAAGCTGACCCAAGTAGTAAGTAACCTCTGCAGTTCATGCGTGTGTGTGTGTGTGTGTGTGTGTGTGTGTGTGTGTGTGTGTGTGTGTGTGTGTGTGTGTGTGTGTGTGTGTGTGTGTGTGATGTGGCTCTTTGCAGTAACACAGTAAAAAAATTTGCTCTTCGTCTCTGAGTGGTTGGCTTCCTCAGCTCTCAGGACGAACTGACTTTCCAGTTTTCTTTGTTTGATTCAGATTCAGGAAACTTTATTCATCCCCATGGGGTAATTTGGACTTAACAGGCACGCTCTGCACAAGAAACATGAAAAACAAAGACGAACATGGGATACAGTGCGAAGGGCCTGTCGGTACTCGCCGTATGTACAGCGCCCCGAGATCTTAGTTGAGAAAAGTAAACACTAGGGAAGGAGGGGAAAAAAAACCCATGCTCGAACTATCCTCTTCTGAGGATAATTTAAGTCTAGGAGAAAAAAATTCCCTGTACATCAAGCATATGACAGTTGCAACAAGTCACAAGACATAACATGTGATGAGGGGGGGCGGATGGATGGGGGGGAAAGCGCGACGCAGCCCGACCGGCGTGCTGCCAGTCCATCCAGCGCACAGCAGATCAAGTCACATCACGGGGAAAAGCCAGGAGGAACGATGAATTGAGTTGATGATAAGGGCAGGCCGCAGCTGCTTCGTCAAGGTCTGCTGATGGAGACAGTCCCAGCTTATCAGTCCGTGGCCAAGAAGGAGGGGGTGATGGTGGGGGCACTAGCTTCCATGCGTACTTTCCAGGGGAAAGGGTCCAAATAGCGTTGTTTTGTCTTGGGACGGCCGGCAACAATTTCAGGTGGCCTTGAGTTCGTGGCTGTATTCCTTCACTGGCGCCGATCAGCCAAATCCTCATTTCCTTTTCGAAGCGAGAATTCCAACTTCAACATGTTGTCGCCAATCGTACGGAGACACCCCAAAACCGCATCCATATTGCGGTTGAGCTCAGTCACCGCTTGAGTCTGTGTGTTGGACATTCGCGCTAGACCATCGAGAATGACCGGCAGCTTCTTCACTTCCAATAAAGC